GGTTTTGAAAACCGGGGGTTTTTGGGGGGGGGGGGGGGGCGCTGCTGGTTATTGCTATGGTAGCTTCTCTATAGTTGGTGGACACAGAGTTTGGTTGGTGAGCCTGGTTGTACCCACAGCTGCCTGTGTGAAGGCTGAAGCAACTACAGAACTGGGCATAGGTTCAACAGCAGCGCAGAGTGACAGGAGGCCCAGACGGACGGTCCAAGGGTCTCTAGGAACCCCAATTCAAGGTAGCATCAAGGGGAAGCCATCACAGATGGCTTAAAGAAAAACATGCCTAAGAAAGAGTATCCAAACGTCCAGGTAGGAATCCAAAGCTCAGTTTACTGAGATCACTGAAGACTACAATATTATAGAAGCCTTGGAAATGTGCTGCAAATATTATAACCTTGTCTGCAAAAAAATAGAAATCTGATGGATGGATTAGGGTTCGGGCGCAGATGGCACTGGATCAGCAGTGTGAAAGTGAAAAGAGCACAGTTTAAAAAAATCACCATGTCAGAAAAAACAAGGTGATGTGGTCAGTCCAGGGCGAAAGGAAAATGAATACACGTGGATGGGTTATAGCGAAACATGCAATGAAGGGCCCTCCGATTTGGAAGCCAATTATGGACCAATCCTCTCTGAATTTACATAGCTTTCTCATTCCTTGTATGGGTGTATGTTTTTTCACTACATGTGTTTTCTGGCTTGCAGATCATTTGAACACAAATTTGTTTCTCTCTCTCTCTCTCTCTCTTTGACTTCAGGATTTAAATTTTTTGTCCTACTTTGAAGTTAAACCAATCTCAATGCACCATCGTCACTCCTGATGGAGCCCTAATTTATATAGGCACATCATAAGCCAGGGAAGGAGACATCCGAAGACTGGGTATATCATGACAGTTGTAGGGGAAAAGCAAGCGATACATTTCAGATGTATTAGTTCTGAATAACAGCAAGGAGTCCTACTTCTCTTTTCAAATATCTGCATATTTTGCTCGTAATATTTGGAAAACACTCAAGCTCTCTCAATCGCTCTGTATTTTATTAACTTTCTACCGATATCACTTTTTCCAGGTTGTTTTTCCCCAGATAAATTCTCCCTTCCTCACAAATATGAATCTGTTGTTATTTTTCCTTGATGACTTCTTTTTTATTGTGCCGACATGTCTTTCTAAAGGGTGGGAGTTTCATATCATTTGCACTTGGATAAACACCTGGGACGCTTCCTCAGTAACCACTCTTTTAACAAACATAAGGCAACAGGCTGTGGTATCTATTAAGAGGGCTTGGTGTTAAGAGCGCTGGTAGAGTAACACACACAACCTTTGATTGTGTGATTGTACTGAAAATGGTGTAGCCTTGATCACACAGACTAGCTGCCCAAACTCAGTCCCATCTGAGACCCCAGGTACCTCCACAGGTGGTTGTTCCAAGCTCTTGCCTCTACTCTAACGTTCACACTAAGTTTATCCTCTTAGCTTGATCTAGAGCATTGTGTCCAATTCTGGGCCCCTCACTATAGGAAGGATGAGGACACATTGGAGAGGGTCCGGCGGAGGTGACTAAAATGATTTGGGGATGGATCACATGACCTATGAGGAGAGGCTGAGGGATTTGGGCTTGTTCAGTCTGCAGAAGAGAAGAGTGAGGGGGGATTTGAGAGCAGCCTGCAACTCCCTGAAGGGGGTTCCAAAGAGGATGGAGAGAGGCTGTTCTCAGTGGGGGCAGATGGTAGAAGAAGGAACAATGGTCTCAAGTTACAGTGGGAGGTCTAGGTTGGATAGGAGGACAAACTATTTCCCTAGGCGGGTGGGGAAGCCCTGGGCTGGGTTCCCTAGGGAGGGGGTGGAATCTCCATCCCTAAAGGTGTTTAAGTCCCAGCTTGACCAAGTCCTGGCTGGGATAGTTGAGTTGGGTTGGTCCTGCTTTGGGCAGGGGCTGGACTCAATGACTCCTGAGGTCTCTACCACCCCTATGATGCTTTGATTCTATGACTTAAGATATGCACCTCCAGCTATGTTAATTAAGAAATAGCCTAATCCTGTTTTGGCACCATCCACAGAGCCAGAGGTCAAGAGCAGCACACACGTCTATCGACTTCCCTTACTCCTCATGAGAAGGAGGACTACTGATGGCGATGGGAGAGCCCTTTCCATTTGAATTAGCAGGTCTTCACTAGGCCTGCTAATTCGAACCCCAGAAGATCGACTGTGGCAGCGTTGATCTTTGCTGGAGTGTAGCCTGGCCCTCAGAGAGATCGCTTGTAAGTTTAACACAAGTTTCAATGCATCGAACTCTGGATAAGAATGAATTCGTATGTGACAATGTTTCCATCCAGTAGGTGGCTCATCTGGGAAGCAAAATGAAGGGTCGTGATGCTCAGAACTGAGTCTTAGCCACAAAACAACCAACCCTTGATGGAAAACCCAATCCGGATTTATTTTTGTTATGCCGATTTAGAGCACGGTGACCACATTTTTTTCCCATTTCTCCAGAAGTCCTGGGGAAAATAAGCTTTCTCGGCCTCCTACAAAGTGCTTCTCACTGGCTGTTCCCAGCCCAATGTCTGCTTGGTGTCATTCACAATGAGAAATGGACAGTTATCGGGGCAGAAAGACAACTCTGGATCAGAGGTTGAGGCTTGTGCATTCTCTGCAGGACATTGAATTCAATTCCCTGGTTCAGTGACTATTTGCCTCTTTCACTGTTGTATGTATGAAAAGATGCAACCAAAGAAAGAGAGAGAGAGTGCACACAAGAGAGATCTTCTGTGGAGAGGATTCCATAGACCAGGGCAATTTTTGACAACGTGGAAGATTGTTGTCTTCCTCCTATCTTGAGATGAAAGGGGTAATAAATGCAGGGCTTCACCCATCTCCCACTGCAGTGTCCCAACCACCTGCTAAATAGCGTAACAGGGAGTGAGGACAATGTTCCCTCTATTTTTTTTCCATTCACATGTGGAATAAATTTTGTTATGTGCACTGAGGCATGTGTGGATGTGCACCACCCATAGAAATGCATGCTGCCGACCGTGGGCACTCTGCTAATTGGCTGGATAGCCCTGGGATCTCTCCCGTCTGGCTGCCCAAGCACTCAGCTTCCAGGAAACACAGGGAGGGGGTATGGCCCAGCATGTAAGTCCAGAAAGATTTAGAATAGTAATAGAAATGTAGCCATGTTAGTCTAGTCTAGCTGAAACAAAACACAGGACTAAATAGCAGGGCTTCCCAAACTGTGGCAAGCCCCGCTCGCCAGCTGCGCTGCCACGGACGAGTAGATTGCATTATTTTTCGAGCCCTGCTATGTAGCACATTAAAGACTAACAAGATGGTTTATTAGATGATGAGCTTTCATGGGCCAGACCCACTTCCTCAGATCAAATAGTGGAAGAAAATTGGCACAACCATATATACCAAAGGGATACAATCAAAAAAATTTTTGATTGTATCCCTTTGGTGTATATGGTCATGCCAATTTTCTTCCACAATCTGATCTGAGGAAGTGGGTCTGGCCCACGAAAGCTCATCACCTAATAAACCATCTTGTTAGTCTTTAAAGTGCTCCATAGTCCTGTTTCTTGTTTCGGAAAGATTTAGGCTGATTTTTGCTGGAAATAGTCAGGTAATTTGAATGTCATGAATCACTTCAGACCGAATCAACCAACTCTTCATCCAAACGATGCCTGAAACATCAAGCCATAAACTGCATTTACCTCGGTCTTGGGGCACATCTACACTACAGAGAAGATCGACCCTCCAGAGGTCAAGAAATCCCTGCTGAGCGTCCACACTGCCCTCTTGTGCAAGAGCTCTTGTGTAAGAGAGCTTACACCTGATAAAAAAGAGCATAGCCCTTGCTCAAAGAGCCCTCTCTTACCACGCCGTACGCTAAATTTCCTTGCGCAAGAGCGGGCGGGCAGCGTAGCTCTTCCACAAGAAGCTGAGAGTGTAGACATAGCCTTTGTGTGGGGGCACAGTAGGGAAGTCAGTTCTTATGATCCCGGAAAATACTGGCCCTCCCCCCTAGGTTTGCCTTTTCTGTGCACGTGACAGTGTACACGGTGATCCTGGTGTGCACACAGATATAGATATCTTAATGCTGCCGTGACCCAGTAAAGATGGAGGAAAAGGCAGGAAAGTTCACACAGCAGGATGTTGAAAGGTCCAACCTGCCACAGACTTTCAACTTCTGTTTACCCAGTGTCCCAGGGCGCTGCTCACCGATAGGGGGCGCCTGTGCTGGACATGCTGGGAATTAGCTTCTCAGCTCAGAAGCACCCCCTTTCGGCTGGGGTCATGCCTGCTGGTACCAGTTTTCCTGCATCTCTGTTTAATAGGACCCACGTTCCTGCCAGACCGTGGCATCCTCCCCTTGGGTATGGCCCTACCGCAGCACCCCCACGCTCTGGGTACCCCAAGCTCCACCTTGCCTCAGTGACCCACGGCCAGTCGTCATCTTGCCCCTTCCTCAGAAGCAACCAGCAGCCTGACACGGCCACTGAGCATTGGCAAAAGGGTGAGGACCTACTGCCTTCACCTGCCCAGGCCGTCCCCCCTGCAATCTTGAGGCCTTGTCCCAGACCCTGCAGCCTGGGAGCTCGCCTGGCCAGAGGTCCCCAGCTCTGCCTGCCTCTCCCCAGGCCTGCTGTAACTACAGCCCTAGTGTTCTCTGGCCTTATTTCAGGCCCCGCAGCCTGGGAGCTCACTTAGCCAGGGATCCCCAGCACCGCCTCCCTCTCCCCAGCCCTGTTCTGGCTCAGGCAGCCCCTAGCTTCCCTGGCAGCCAGGACCCTCCCACTCTCCAGCCAGAACAAGAGTGTCTGTTTTCCCTCCAGGAGCCTTTATTTATATTGCCCTCAGCTGGCCCTAATTGGCTCATACTGGCCACAGCTGCTGGCTCCAGGGTTCAAAGGCTCCAGCCCTCTCCCAGGCTGGGTTTTAACCCCTTAAAGGGCCAATGCGGGACAGATGCCCCATCCCACCCAGCTACAGATCGGCATAGAACACAAACCAACCCAAACTCCCCACTCGCTGTGACAGCAACGTGGGTCACCTACTCCTCCAAGTCCTATTAAGAGGGTCCTATTAAGTGAAGTATGACCATAGCAGAGAGGAATAGCTCAGTCGTTTGAGCATTGGCTTGCTAAACACAGGGTTGTGAGTTCAATACTTGAGGAAGCCACTTAGGGATCTGGAGTAAGCCTGTTAGGGATGGTATTTGGTCCTACTGTGATTGCACTCCTTGATCTCTCAAGGTCTTTTCCAGCACTATGAGATAGGTGTATAGTTCTTTCTAACCAGCTTCCGTGGAAGAGACCCAGAACCCCACAAAAGACATGACGCTCCGGGTGGAATTAGAACACTGGTGTTCACATTCAGATGAATGAAGTAACGTGCTTTATTGAAACACAGGTCTGAAAAAAGCTAAACCACTTTCATACAGGCCATCTCTGAGGCAATCAAGTTTTGTAGGAATACCTTGAAAGAAAGACTCAAATGGACAATATCTAAGCAACTACATTAGTTCATCTCTATTTTTCTATTGGCTACAATTTGTCCTTTCAGAGTTTATGCCTGTGTCTGAGAGCAGCCAGTTTGAGAACAGCTTTTCTGAACGCGTCGTTCACCTCCTTGTTTCTCAGGCTGTAGATGACGGGGTTAATCATGGGGGTCAGGACGGTGTAAAAAACGGAAAATATTTTGCGCAGGATCTTGGGCGTGTTGGCTGTTGGAAACACATAGACAGTGATCACAGCCCCATAGAACACGGTCAGCACGATGAGGTGGGAGGAGCACGTGGAGAAGGCCTTTCGCCTCCCGGTGGTGGATGGGATCTTGAGGATGGTGACGATGATACAAATGTAGGATGTGAGGATCAGTAGGAAGGGCACAAGTGCCCCTATATTTGAGATAATAGATGTCACCAGCTGCAGCGTCCGGGTGTCACCACAAGACACCTTAACCACGGGTGAAAAATCACAGAAGAAATAGTCAATTTCTTTGGCATCACAAAACGTTGATTGTAACAAGAAAATAATGACTATGGAGCAGCTCAGAGAACTACTCGTCCAGGACCCGGCCACCAGCTGGCCACACACCGGGCCATTCATTAATGCAGCATAGCGGAGGGGGTGGCAGATGGCTAAATATCGATCGTAGGACATGGCCGTGAGCAGCAGACATTCCGTAGATGATAGGGCACCAAAGAAATACAATTGCACCAGGCAACCCTTAACAGAAATGGTTCTGTCGCCGGTCAGGAGACTGGCCAGCAGCCGGGGCAGGAAGGTGGAGGTGTAACAGATCTCCACGCAGGACAAGTTCCCCAGTAAGAAGTACATGGGGACGTGAAGACGGGAATCGACCACCACTAGTGCAACGATGAGGAGGTTCCCAGACAACGTCACAAGGTAGATCGCTAGAAACAGCAGGAAGAGAAGGGGCTGAAATTCCCCAATATCCCCAAATCCCAGGAGGATGAATTCCATGATGAGCGTTTGATTCCTTCCTTCTGCTTTCTCCATAATATGTGTCTAGAAAGAGAAAATATTGATGGAGTAAACAGCCAATTTGTGCTATTGGCTACCCTGGAAACCCGGAGCAGGTCCTACCACCAGGGGCAGATAAGAGTTTTGCGGGGCCCAGGGCAGCACAATTTTGTGGGGCGCCCTTTTGGAGAAAAAATAGAAAAAAGGCGTCCCCCCTTGCCCACTCCTCCAGTAGCCCCACTCTGATCATGTGAGCTACCCCTCCTCATCCCCTCTCCTGA